CAAAGTCATTAATCATGCCTGAGTGTTGAGAACAATGGAGAGAGAGGAAATTATGAAGAAAACAGCCATGAACTTGCCACACAGCCTGAAAGAGGCTTTTCATTTCAAGCTGAAATGAAATGGGCACAGAGCCTTTGACTGATATTTGAGTGATTCACATGGTTTAGGGTGTGCATCTGTATAAACACGGCTGATCCAATGCATCTGGATCACAGCAATGCCATCCAGACTCAGTTATAGGTTTCTATGCATCCAGCAAGCGAGGTCTGATTAACGAACAGAATGTTTTTGTATGATGTGAAGACTCAAAATCTCTTAATTTAATGTTGTTTTTTAGTACTATTATTATTTTCATTAATATTCATAATATGTATCTGTTTTATTATATGTATACACGCATTATCATTTGTACTCTTTGCATTTTGTGATTATAATGTTTTGAAGATGTGGGAGAGAGAGAGACTTTAGGAGACTTTGGGATAAGTTAAACTGTATGAGTGAATGCATGTTGGATTGAGACTGAAAGTTTATGCAGTGTATAGTTGGATATACATTACATTGTTAATGGGAACCACATGTTCTTGTGGTAATGCATGTGTTACTATGGTGATGCAGTTTTTTCTTGGTCAGTAGTATTTAAACTGAGTCCCTTTTGTCCGAAAAGCAGGAAGAGATGATAACGATGCAGAATGAAGACCTCTGTTTCTCTTCCTCCTATGTCTTATAAATATTATAAATAAATTCGAGAGATCTCTTGGCAAAATCACTGGTGTCTCTTTTCATGGGGAAAGCAAAAGAAGTTTTTTTAGATCTACAGATGGATATTAGATATTAGTCTAGTTAGTCTAACTGATTGATATATTATTTATAAATTAGTCAACTAAAAGGGATCAATGTGTTTAAACATATATATATATATATATATACAGTATATATATATATATATATATATATATATATATATATATATATACAGTATATATATATATATATATATATGGTAACACAATAAGGTTTCATTTGTTATGTTAATTAACTAAAGCAAAAGCCTACATTTTTTTACTGTATTTGTTCATCTTTTGTTAAAAAAAAATCCGTCGCTGCATATGTTTCCTCTGGATTCCATTAGGACTGCATGGATAAAAAGGGGTGGTTTACTGTTTTTTTTTTCCTTTGCATGATTGTGTTTATGGGCTGCAATATAAAAAATCTTTAAAAAATCTTATTTTTCATAAATTTCACCTTTATTGTCAGACTCTTTCTCCTTTGTCCTTTGATTGACTGGTTGACTTCCTGAGTCTATGAAACCACTCCCTCAGAAAGAGGCAATGGGCTCAGATTGGTTAGTTTGGGCCGGTTTGTTGTGATTGGCTAAACTGTTGCTCCCGTTGTCCGGATACTTAACACCCATTACCTTTACGGTCGAAACGTGCCTGTGCTCCGGTCCAATGTAAATAATGGTGTCGATACTGCAGTATCAGTATGAGCCAGAATCAGACCCAGAAAGCGGCGATGAAGAGAGTCAAGCAGAACCTCACCACACACAGCTCTTACTAAACGTTTCTGAATGGTAATTTGCCTATATTTTTTTTTAACTTTATACACGTTTGTTTTACACAATAGCATTGAACTGACTGGCTACTAACGTTATAAACACAAACAGCATTGGCATTGGTTTACGTTCTTGATCAAATCGAAAATAACAAAGTATATATACATGAAAAAATACATTTACAACATTAGTAGGCCTAAGTTATACAAAATTCAGGTCCATAATGTTTGTACGCGTTTGTCGTAGACACAAAATAGCATAACTAGTAGCCTAGTGGCTATAAAGCCAGCGCTTGCATTTGATAAAACTAAAACACAAGGCTACGTCTGAAATTATACATGCAAATACATTTAAAATGATGAAGTCTTGGCCTACTTACAGGTTGTGGCCCAACAACTGCTGCCTCTGGGTTTAAAGTGGGAATTGCTTCATGTTTTAGTAACAGTTTCTTGTTGAATCCGGTGTTGAATTCGTGGAGATTCTGGAAGCTGTCTTGCGTAAAATGCGCAGCACAGAGAGCTAAATTACGATCGTCATTTTCAGGAAATTGTATTCATTGTTGACGAAGTACAGCGTCCGTGGGAAGCCCGAACACAGAAGACCTGACAGCTGGTGAACACAACACACTTGACGAGCCGCAGAAATATGGCAGAAATAGGGAGGGTTGGCGTAAATGTACGGGTTAGTGACGTCTAAAACCCAGCTGTAGTCCCAATCAAGTCGTTTTTGTAGGCATTAAACTTCCTGATTTTTAAAGACGATATCTCTGCTTACATTGAACTTTCAGTGCTGCAACTTTGCAGATACTGTTCATACACCAACAGCAACATTACAAACTATTTAAAATGAAAAAAGTGATATCGCAATCAACCCCTCCCCCCCCCTTTAAATGCAGCCAAATATCAACAAGACAAGTATAAACGGTCTAGTTGAAAGGCTGAATAGAGTTTATTAATATAGACAGTCCCAAACAATAAAGAATAGTAAATTAGTTTGCACACAATAAAAAGAGAACGAGCGAAAGGGAAATTCCTGTCTGCTCAGTTCCCTGCGCATATTATACATTGCGGACCATTATCTACACTTTGCGTCGGAAAACGTGAAATAAAGCCACTTAATTATTGTAGACATGCAGACCCATAATCTACGCGCTGCCTCGGTCCTTACTTGACTTATCCTTTCCTGCCCGTGGCGCTGACTCTCACCGTTGGACTAGTTGAATTACGTGCTTCAGACGCAACCACGCAGGGGCGTTCCCAAAGCGTCATCGACGCATCGCGAGCTCCCTCGAAAGGGAACTGTGATTCTCAATTGGATAGCGTCGATCAAAGCTCTTTGTGGAAATGAGTGACCTCAAGACACAGTATAAAACCAATGGGCAGTAAAGTAGCAGGGCCTCTGCTGTATTACATTAACTGCAGTGCGACTCATTTGTTAAGTGTCACTCTCTCCAATGCTGTAAACAGAAACATTAAATCTACCTGATGGACTGTGCTGGACTGTGCTTCAAGGGGTTTTGTGGCAGTGTCAGGGTGTGTGTGAATCTAGAAGGGTGTATTCCTGTTTGCTTTTGTCTGTGGCTGTGTTCTGTCAGAGGCACATCCGTAATTTCTCCTGCTTGGAACATCTTTCACTTCTATCCAGATTGTGTTTGTTTTAGCTGGCAGATAAAAAGCTTGCGAAATAGGAAATAAAGGCAGTCCTGCATGCCCTGGCAGTAGCTGAATTTAAATGCAAGCATGTTTTCAAGCAGATTCTGACACTGATAATGGTGTTTCAGTGACATGGTAGGGGAGGCGAGGGATAATTGTGTAACACCTTTGATTTTATTTATTCAGAAAAGGTAGATTTAATTTTGAATGCAAATTAATGTATCATGTAAATATCTTTTTTTTATCATTGTTTATTTATTCAAAGTGTTGTTCATGTCATGTTTTGATATCTGGATTGGCAGAGAAAAACCTGACATTATAAAATTCCATGTAAACATGATTTTCCTGTATTGCTGGGTGTTTATAATGTGCCCATTTATGATCATTATCATGGTTGTGCACGAAAACACATTTACTTTTGCTAATACTTACTTTGAACAAACCTAAACCTAAGTATTAAAATTCAGCACACAAGTTCTATTACTTTTCTATTAGGTTCTATTACTTTGCCAAGAAATCAGACATCATTTTTTCCCCTGGTGGACAATAAAGGTTTTGTTGTTTTTTGGGGGATTTATTCAGAAATTGTTTGGTCTAAACTTTTAACATTTTTGCCTCTTTAAAAATAAATAAATAAATAAGTTTAGTTGTCATTACAGTTACAATAAGTTTAAACGTATCTGGGTTAGTTCACCCACAAATAAATATTGTCAATATCGACTCGCCCTCATATCATGCTTTGTGCATTAGACTTTCATTCACCTTTAGAACACAAATGAATATATTTTGGTTGAAACCTGCGAGCTTTCTGTACCTCCAGTGACAGCTATGCAACTACCAGTTTCAAGCCCCCATTATAAATATAAAAATCCATGTGACTCCAGTGGTTAAACCTCAATTTTAGTGACATGTGACATGTGACAAGTGACATGATTTGTTTGTGCAGCAAAAGATCATTTATCCACTTTATTTATTTGTTTTTGAGGAATTGAGCAATTCAATGAGTCCTTGCTGAATACAAATATTTAAAAAAATCTATAGACCCCACACTTTTTGTGTAAATTAATTTGGGATAAGAGAGGATTAAATTGTGCTTATTGTGAGTTTTATTACTGATGTTTCAATCCAAGCTCCCCCATATATAAGTTTACTTGTATCTCTGGTAATTCTGCATAGTTATCTTTAGCTGTGTCTGAAATCGCTCCCTATCCACTAAATAGTGCACTATATCGGGTGTCGGCCATTTTGTAGTGGTGTCCGAATTCTGAGTGAACGACATCATTCCCTACATTCATTCACTACTTTTACCCACAATCCTCTCTGAATTCGAGTGTACATTCGATGTACACTCGCTGAAGCCCTATTAACGTCAGCGTCCGAATTCACTCACTTCATCTCGTTCACTCCTTGCAGATATAGTGCACTCAAATGCCATACACTATATAGGGATTAGTGAATGAGTGAACGAGTGAGCGGTTTCAGACACAGCTTTTGTGTTTCCCATGTTATATGCATTTGACCTTACAGTCTAGGGTAAAACAAATTGTTTTGCTAATTATTTCACAGTGCGGTTTGCAAGTAATCACACCCTTAGGCCATCTGCGTTACCAACACACAAATGCCTTCGAGAGGAATGTTTCAAGTGCGCTCGCTGAACTGTGATACATTTTTCAAAACTCAAGGGACCTTCCGTTGGGTTCCTGCCCCAGCCATCAAGTGGAAAAACACATATATCTTGGTTGAATAAATTGGTGATAATGGTGCTGTTTTCAATATTTTCTCTCTTTCGTTTGTAGACACATAGAAAATTGGACTGGATTGCAGATTCTTAAGGATGTTGACATGGAACTGTACACAGGACTCCAGAGACTGTGAGTATTCAAAAACAAATCCCATAGAGGTTACATGCATTTTACACTAAAGTCTGGTGCACACTCCACGATTTGAGTCATCTGAGACATGTTTTGGGAAGATGTCTTTAATGTTTAGTTCCCTTTTCAAGGGAACCCACGCTGTGTCAATGACACTTTGAGAATGCCTCTGTGTGATTGCGTCTGAAACACCAACTAGTCCAATAGCGAGACGGGACATCACGGACAGGTGACATCACAAGGCATAAAAGCACATCCGGAATGACCGGCGTTAAATTCTGTGCCTCAGCTTCTGTCAAACATATATCGGTGGGTCCTGCAGATTATATAAAAAAAGGTTACAGAATCCAGTTCGGTTCTCATCCACTAGATTCAATGGGGTTCTACTGACGTTAGTACATCCCGAGCAGGCTCTGGTGATGGAACAAGAAGTAAAGTCTCTAGTGAAGAAAGCTGTAAAACCATTTCACAAAATGTGTAGATGCAGCTCTGGCGGCACTTAGACTGCAAGGAATTTGGATTCTGAACTACAGTCCCTCCAAAAAACGTGATTATGCGATCGCTGAATTCAATGCAAAATCAGCCAAAGTCTGCATATTTATGCGGGGGCCGCATTTTTTCAAATACGCCGCACTTTCGCCGCATAAATTGCCGATTTCCGTGCAAAATGTGCGGGGTTTGCATGATTTCATAATCCTCGCATTTTCGTTGCAAAAAAGTCACATGTATCTTAGCAGAAAGTTGAAAAATGTTGCGTTTGCTTCACACAAGAGCTGCCATTTCCCCCTGTTTCCATGGGAACGTTATGAAGTGACGCAATTACGCGACGGGATAGCTCACAGCTGAAGTTATTGCAGAGGCCAGACAGACTCACGGAGGCGATTGACATCTCATAAATCGAACTCGTATAACTGTCTGTCACACGTTCTACCGTCACATCGTTACTTAGTAAACAGCATAAGATAAAGAAGTAGCATCAAACAGAATTTACCCGCACACATGGGGTGTTCGAAGCGCACACAGTTCAACAGGGAGCGCGCAGCTCTTAAAGGGGCCACACCTTATTTACACTCGTTACAGTCTGAAATAAAACAAGATGAGAAATTAAATATTCCCAGCACTTTCTGTGATGTAGTATGCTTGCTTATCAAAGAAAGTAATAAGAAATGACTTTTTACATTAAGGTAGTAGCCTAGTGAGAACAGGGTGTCGGGGAATCACTTTTTTTCCTCTTTTTCATCAATCCGCAGTTTTTGCAAGTTCCCGCAATTTTTGCAAATTCCCGCAATTTTTGCAAGTTCCCGCAATTTCATCGCATAAAATTGCATAAATATCCCGCATAATCCATCGCATTTTTAAAGAAAACGGGCCGCGTAATCAAGGATTTTTGGCCGCAACAATCACAAAAAAACTGGAAGGACTAGCAGAGTCGGAGCAGATGGCGGTTCAGCATTGAAATGTCGTTCTCGCATTCAAAAGGTGGGGTTGAGACTGAATGCAGAGAAGAGTGTGCTTTCTCCAGTTGTGAGGACCACTTTCCTTGGTGTGGTATGGGATTCAGTAACGATGCAGGCCGTCTTTTAACCTGCTTATGTTAAAATCTGATTTTATCCATCCATCTCAATTCCCATCCATCCATCCATCCATCCATTCTTATGCAGAACACAATTCTGACCTTCAAAATATCTCTTTTGTGTTCCATGGAAGGAAGAAGTCATGCAGGTTTGAAACAAGTGATGACAGAATTGTATTTCCAGTTGAACTGTCCCTTTATTGATGTAATGATCTTAAATTGTTTAAAGTGCATCAGGCCTAAACAACATTTGAAGTGCCAGGCTTTTTAAACATTTGTAAAATTTTCTAGTTCAAGCATTGGTAAGGGACCGCTGACCTGCTCGTAGGGATTTCACTAGCGCACGCAGAAGAACCATTGCAGCCGTGCCGAAATGAAATATCTGCCTACACTCGTAATCCCACCCCCACAAGTTCATGGATGTCATGTGAAGGACCATTGTTTTTAGGTTTTTAAGAGCTGAATGGTTAAGAAGAAAAATAAACCCAGCCAACATCCTCCTTATATCTCTCTCATAATAGAGATGGATAATTGTATTCCTTGAAATAGTTTACTATAGAGCCATCATCATAATAAAACTAATTCTGTACTGATTACTGTTCACCGGATAAGGGTGTTGTGAGTGTAATCACTTTTTGCATTAAATTCCTTTAATGAAAAGGATGCAGTCATTACCAATTAATGCCACCCAGACTGTGCACAGAGTCTTTAGGATGCACAATTCATTCCAGCTGCCGCTGCGGCTCAGCGCTATGAAATTGGGGACCCTGATGATACCATTATTCTAATGACACTCTCAGAAGAGATGGGAAAGATGGCAAACTGAGATTGCTTCTGCAGTTTATCATCATAAACGATGTATATCAAGCTGCAAGGCTCTAATGAACTGTTGGCTTTCTCAGGTTTGAATGATCGACTTGCAATGCCAGGTGCAAATGACCAACAACAGGGCCCTCAGTCAAAATTACTGGATGAAGTTGGTGGTCTTACCTTGGGAAAAATAATTTGCACTCATCATTGTTGGATTGATGCAGTCCATTTACCATTTGGGGCCAGCCAATGACACCTATCATTCACATATGTTTGAGAGGAACTGTGCATTTTCATATAGTAGTCTCTCTCTCTGTTTTTCAGGACAATAATGAACTGCAATTTACGGACAATCCAGGCACGTGCATTTGCACAGAACCCTCATCTCCGCTACATGTGAGTAAAATGTCTTCTAGTGTGCTTGGGTCATGAAGGAGTAATTGTTATTCTCTGAATGAATCCTTTTTGTTTAGTTCCACTCATCTGTAAACAATGTTGAGTAAGCTACATTTAGTGCTTAGTAGCTTAGGGTATAGTGTAATTATGAAACTAAATGAATCAATGAACAAATCAAAAAGAGTTAAAAATCACAACTTCTAGTCTTCTAACATATTTTTTGATCGTCAACACTAGAACGGCCATGACGGTCATTTTGACCATTTTGAATTTTATATCTGCAACTAAAATAAATAAAATCCTGCTGGTACCTGACTTTTCCAGCCCGGTCTCAACCCAAGGCGTCATATACTGACGCTTTTGACAATGCGTATACATTCAACGCACATGGCACCCTTTAGCGTCAATATGAGACGCAGATATATATGGGCCAGAAGGCGCCTCCTAGTGGTCTAACCCTAACCCTTCCCGCAGACCTAAACCTACCCATAACCGAAGCGTGTTATATTGACGCTAAATGGTGCCATGTGCGTTGGATGTAAACGCATTGGCAAAAGCATATGATGCCCTAGGATGAGAATGCGTTGGACTTTTCCTAAAAGTGTCAGTATTTTCATTTAAAATGTTTTTAATATAAATTACACATAAGGCAAAACAAACTAATTAAAGGGATAGTTCACTTTGAAATTAATTTTTGATATGTTTTAGCTTACCTCAAGGGCATCCAAGATGTAGGTGTCTTTGTTTCCACAGTATTTTCAATTTTGACATTTTTCGGTCAAACCGGTGTTGTCTGTCAGTCATATAATGCAGTTTTAGGGGGTCCACCTCAAAAAGCATGCACAGAGAAGTCAAAATTAAACATGATTTAATGACTCGTGAATGTAAGTACACACTGATGGCCTAAGACACGAAACGAGCGGTTTGTGTGAGAAAACGAACAGTATTTATATAGTTTTTACCTCTTGTTAACAGCCGTCGAACTGATCTGAATCAGATGTCCAACTGAACCGAACTGGGGTGCGTTTCCCGAAAGCATCGTTAGCCAACTATGGTCGCAAGTTGATCGCAATTTCCATTGAACTCTATTGGTAACGACGGAACTTGCGACCATAGTTGGCTAACGATGCTTTCGGGAAATGCACCCCTGAACCGTCTCCAGACGTTACGCCGGAAGTGATCTCTCACGTGTCTACGTCACGCATTGTTTACACAGAGATTTCGGATGTTTTACCTTTCATTAAACATATTTAAATATACGGGAAATCGCATTGGAAGACGATTTCGATATATCTAAATATGTTTAGTGAAAGGTAAAACTTCCGAAATCTCCGTAAAAACAATATAAATACTGTTTGTTTTCTCACACAAACCGCTCGTTTCGTGTCTTAGGCCATCAGTGTGTACTTACATTCACGAGTCATTAAATCATGTTTAATTTTGACTTCTCTGTGGATGCTCTTTGAGGTGGACCCCCTAAACTGCATTATAGGACTGACAGACAACAACGGTTTGACCAAAAAATGTCAAAATTGAAAATGCTGTGGAAACAAAGACACCTAAAACTTGGATGCCCTTGAGGTAAGCTAAAACGTATAAAAAATTAATTTCAAAGTGAACTATCCCTTTAACATATGCATCTATTTCGGCCATAGACAGTCATATTGACCACACTGAATTTTGTGGTATTCTTTTGTTACATTTCCCGCGGTTGAACTTTGTCAGTTAGAAAACGATCAGAAGATTCCATTGCAAAATGACAGATATGTTTATTGAGAGCTGGTCAGATGCTGGGAGAGTTAAGGTGTGCAAATATCCGGTATGAAGCCCTTGGCTGCCCAGGGACGCGTGTAGAACGAGGAGTGCTGGACACGGATGGATGACACACGGAAAACGGATTCAGACAGAGAACAAACACACAGGAAACATCCACAAAGGTCTGACAAAGACTAGGCGACAACAGTGACACTAAAAAGGGTTCGCTGATCAGCTGCAGCTGGTGTGTTGATCAGAAGCAGCAGGTGTGCTGATCAGTGGCAATGATCAGCGACCACACACACACACACAACAAGACGAGAAAGGAGACAGCGAATTACCATAAACCATTACATTGTCTCTATCACAATCAAAAGAATATCTAAATAAGATACTTTTAGTTGTTATTATCTTGTTCTGAGTTATGTTGAATGGATATGGAATATATAGCCTATCTGTTGTGAATATGCAATAATTATTTACGGGCTAGCCTACTAATGATATTATTATTCATAAATGTATGATCAAATTATTTAAATGCACAGTTTGGTATTATTTTGTTTTTACAAGATATCCTAACACAAAAAAATGCATTAATCTCTCAATTGGGTATTTATCATTAAAGATATAGAGTTTGCAATCTAATGCTCAATGACCGCTTGTGTCAGTTCTAGAAGTTATGGAATTCTGGCACTTCTAGTGTTAAAGGTATTTGGTGTTGTTTGTCCCATAAGAATTGTCCTAAGTAATTGCAATATAGAATCTAGTGGCTCGGATCTCGCGTTTGCCGAGGCAGCGCATAGATTACGGGTCTACTCAGCAACAAAGATTCTGTGACTGGGATCTCGCGTTTGCCCAAGGCAGCGGGTAGATTAAAGGTCTGCATTGCAATTCCGAATCTGCTGGCTCGAATCTCCCGTTTGCCGAGGCAGCGCGTAGATTACGAGTCTACAATAAAATGGTTTCGGGACACATCAGTTTTCAACGAACGAATGCACGCCAACTCGTCATTACTTCGTCTTCCAAACAGATGGAAATTGACAAAAACTCTTAATAGTCCGATCCAATTTGACTTGTAATGATGCCCGAATCACACACTGTTCCTTTGTTGGCCAGAGGAGAACTGGCCCCCGACTGAGCCTGGTTTCTCCCTAGGTTTTTTTCTCCATTCGGTCACCTGATGGAGTTTTGGTTCTTTGCCACTGTTGCCTTGGGGTTTGGCTTGCTTAGTTGGGCACATTTAATATTCAACAATATTATTGATTATTTATGTTATCACTGTGAAGCTGCTTTGATACGACCTAAATTGGAAAAAGCGCTAAATAAACGTGACTTGACTTAACTTCAAAACTCTGGAATTGGCTGAGGCCAAGAACCTTCCCTCAAGGAAGCTTTTTTTATTAGCCATTACTTCTCTGAGGAGAGAAGGAGACCTTCAGGCACTCTCTATATCTCATGAGTGCCTGAAGTTTGCTACAGGTAACATTAAGGCTATCTTGCATCCCAGGCCATGCTATGTGCCTAAAGTGCCATCTGATGTGGCACGGCCTATGGTTCTGCAGGCTTTCATCCTCCACCTCACGTGATGCCGGATCACGAAAGACTTAATTTGCTCTGTTCATGGCGGAAGTCAGTTCAGTTTCTGGTGTGCTTCGGGTTGCCCAAAAAGGGCTTCCCGCATCCAAACAGACCATCAGTAACTGGATCATTCAGGCTATCTTTATGGCCTGCGCAGCTTGCCTTCACCTTTGGCCGTGAGAACTCATTCAACCAGAGGCACTCATTCGTCCTCTAGAGCCCTCCTTTCAGGGGCCCCGATCCAAGAAGTGTGCAATACAGCAGGATGGGCTACCCTTTATACTTTTCTATGATTCTATAGCCTAGACATTTCTTCTACGCCAGGCACTCTAGTGCTCTTGTCCTAAGTGTACATGTGCCCAGCTTCAAACTGGGACAGGCAGGGCTAATTGTGGCATAGTGGATACTCGTTCCCCAAAGTGTCGTAGCAGTTCGAGTTCCCTCGAAAGGGAACGAGACACTGCGTCCCTCCACCACGCCTTCCCCTGCCTGGGAGCGACTTGCTTCATCGCAGAAGCTAACTTTGTGCCGGCGTCCATTTGTAGCTTCCGTGTATGCCGTCACGTTACGTCATAATGCAGCACTAATCAGGATTGGATTCGTTTCATACATACTTCAGATGCGTTACGCTAAGGGCGTTCCCCAAAGTGTCGTAGTCGACACAGTGTCTCGTTCTCTTCTCAGGAAACAAGGGTTACAGTCGTAACCCGAGACGTTTTCTGCCTGCGGTAACTATGAATGAAACGTCACTTCTTACTGATTCATCTTTCTTTCTTTCTTTCTAACTAATCTTTCTTTCTTTCTAACTAATCTTTCTTTCTCTCTTACTAATCTTTCTTTTTTCTAAATAATCTTTCTTTCTAACTAATCTGGCAATGTGGTAAACCATACTAGAAACATGGTAAATCATGTTAAACCATGCTAGCACATTTTAAACTTTTTCAAACTTTCTGTTTGACCCAACTTAAAGTTTGTCTACAAAATTATTATTATAATTTTATTAAACTGAATAATATATATATATATATATATATATATATATATATATATACACATCCTTCTTCTATAAGATGAAAAAGTCAGGTGGGATGTAACAGACTAGACATCTGCTGCGAATCCAGACCTCCTACAGTGTTTCATCACTCTCGCTTCTGAGCTTCTTCACCTGCCAAGCCCTCCCATCTTTCTCACCACATCCTCTTTTCGCCGTAACCTCAAGGCAGTTTTCCTCTCCACTCCTCTTGATCCTTCAGTAAGGAAGCCAAGTGGACTATTCCCAGCTTCCCATTTGCATTTTTCTCATTAACATTGCTCTCTCTTCTGCTGATGGTGGACTCTTCTGGTCCCACCCACGCCTGGAAACAGCACTGACCTACAGGCCTCCAAATTACCCTTTGAGGTTTCACTAAAGGTCATTCAGCTTAAAGCACAAACATAGTAGATTACATTGTTACATAAGCAAACACATGAATGCAAGACCTGTCTGTAGAGGTTTTGGTGGGAAATAGTTTTCAAGATCTCATCCCATCTGTGGGTTTTGATGGGCAAGCTGATAGTTTGTGCATTGATATTATGTTGCCTTAACAACGATGACGAAAGATAGACTCTATCTATCTGTCTGTCTGTCTGTCTGTCTGTCTGTCTATCTATCTATCTATCTATCTGCT